GTCCCATCTGCCTATGAAATGACGATCTATTGTACTTATGTTGTTGCTGTGTAAATAGACCTAAAAAAATTGGAAAAAGTTTAATAGTCACATAGTAAAAAAATCTTAATTTTACTTCTTATTAATTAATTTGATTATTTACTAATTTATTTTTTATTTTTCCAAAATTTATTTATCTCATTTCATTTCTTCCAATTTTGGCGATGACTATACCACCTAATCTTTAGATAAGATTAGACATACCTAGAATTGTTATCGCTTACCAGCTAATTTTTTAATTGCTCCATTTATCCAATTTTAATCAGAACGATATAATGTTTCAAGTTTTTATTTTGAAATTTATGAATCATTGCAATTATATTTAAATCTTAACTTGAACATAAATGTCTCATGGGAACATAATCAGAATAGTAAAAATTCAACACTGGTGATTGTAGATCTCAAAATAAGATATCAAGTAGAAATAGTCTTTTGAGAAAATACTGCACATATTAACTTATATCAAATATAATCTCATCAGAAAACAGAATGGTCAACAGTGTTGGTCAGAATGGTCAACACCTGGGTTGCCTTCTAGAAACACTAGATTAAGGAATGTATATCAAAACAGCTTATCAAACAAATAGTTCTGATTGCTGTGCAAATATTAAAAAAGGAAATTTATCATCTATTTTATTACTGAAATTATTTGTCAATTCTCCATACCAATTCTAGAGGTGGCCAAACTTCTCCCTCAGATCCTGGCTGGTCATCATGTCTAGATAAGGCAGATTCATGTAGGAATTTTAGGCGTGGGTTATTATTCATATGCAATTCTTTTAATTTTATCAATCCACTCAAAGACTTTTGACCAATACTGATGAGGTCGTTCATATAGCACATATGAAGTACTTCCAAGGAAGACATTGTTGGAAAAATGCTGGAAAAAAGCTATGTATCAGTTTTTCCTTAAGGTCTATAACCTCTATGCTAACAAGGAAATTCTCTGGTTTTCTCGCCTAGGATTTTGATGGAACTTTGCATGGTGAGTCCTATGAGAAGCGATTTAATTATATTGACTATCAAATATATCACTTTTAGGAGTTCCCTCAAAATCCTAGAAGAGTAAACCTGAGTATCTCCTTTTTAGTAGGATATAAATCATTTCATTTAATTTCAATTTTATTCATTTGGCAGCAAGAATAACAATTTCTATCATCTTAAGATTTAATTCTGTTTTTTACTCACTTGTCGCTTTCTAAGGATGTTATTGGATTCTCATTCAAGTTCAACCAAGTTAAACTTTGGGCATATCGAAGACTTTCCGGCAATTTTGTAAACAAATTTCCAGTCAAATTTAATGTTTTTAAATCTTTTGGAGTATGGAGCAAATTTTTTGGAAGCGTTTCCAAGTCTAAGTAGCTCAGATCCAAATGCTGGATAAGAAAAAAAATTGAAGATATTAGTAAATATTATTAGTAGGTAGAACTAAAGGTAAAGATGCCCTTACTTGCAAATGTAGGAGCCCAGATATTGCAGTTTCTGTATGTATATCTATCACTTTAAAAGGATTTGATTCCAGTGACAAAACTTCCAAAGATCCTAAATGTTCGAACAAATCTTGATCTAATGTATGTAGCATGTTATTACCCAATTTCAGTACTTTCATCGATTTTAATGGCTCATATGCATCTGGAGAATAATCACCCTGTACCAAAAAAATAATAAAAAGTTGGACAAAAGTATAGATTTTTTTTAATGAATTACTCACCTCAAAAACTGATGGAATTAAAAACTTTGATGTCAACCTGTTATTACTTAAGTTCAACTCTGTCAAATTTTGGAGATTTTTGAAAGTTGCTGGCTCAATTCTTAAAATTCTGTTTAGACTCAAGTCTAAAACCTATAATATTAATCATAGACATTATTAATGGATATTTTATAATTAAATATTGGTTGGATATTTCAATATATTATTTATGGTTTAAAAATTAGGTAACATTTTTGAACTTGCATATTTTTTAAATTTATGATTAACTTTGTATTTAAATCATAAATATGGCAAAAATGTTATAATAGCTAATGAGCATTATATGAAAATCTTTATATAATTATATCAAGGATATTTTATTAATAAATATTGTAGAGGTATAATCATATGGTAATAATAAAAATACATAATCTAACAAAGTACATTTAATTCTAGTTTGGCAAAAATATGAACATTTGGTTTGGTCATTAATATATCAATTGATATTAACTAATGTTGATAATGGGAATTGCAAAACAAGATAAGAAAGTCTGTAAAATTTCTCAAATTTTTGGAAATTGATGGTTCAGAGTTTTCAGAACTCTTCCAAAATTTTTGGCATTCTAATTTGGAAACATGGACATTTTCCTTGATCATTAATTTGGCTAAATTTAAATTTAAATGGCTAAAGTTAAGACAGTGATTTCAAACGTTTTCATACATTTTCTAAAAATTATTTTTCAAAATTTACTGACATTATAATTTATTTAATGTACTACAAAATTATATGAAATAATATGTAAACGTGTACATAACTAGTGGTGTATGGCATCGTGCCTTAAGGCAAATTGCTGGAACTTTTCGTACCGTAACAAAATGATCGAGGAATATCAAATGTTTTCAAATAGTTTATTATAAATACTGTAACATTGTCTAAAATTTGTTTTGATAAACTGAATTACAATGTTAAAATTATTTATTTAAAGTATATAAGTGAGCTTTAGAACTTTAGCCACACACATCCATTTGATATTATATTATTTTGGGTTCGATTTTTTTAATACCCTAAGAAGCGCCCCACAGATTAGAAATCGCTGAGTTATAACAATGTATACTAATGATATTAATTTATTTCAAAACAAGCTTACTTTTATATCAAGTGCAGGAAACGGTAATAAATGAGTCAATTCATTATTTTGCATCTGCACAACACTGATGTTAGTTTTGGAGTCATCCATTAGTTTATTCCATTCATCATCAGTAAAAACAGTTAAAATTTGGCGTGCATTACAATCCAACACTCCCGTATCATTGTTGCAAGTACATATAGAACAAATATCTTTCACTTTAATTGTTCCAGAGTTATTATTCTGACAATATACACTGCAAATAATAGTCAATAAAACGATTTTCGCACAAAAATGCATCTTGAGAAAGTATGTTTTATGAAATGCACAGAACAATCCGAACGAACATTGCTAAAATCAATTTTATTTAGAACAGAATTACATGATATCTTATCACTAAGAGCACCTTATCTTGTGATTAGTCTATCACACGAAACAAGAAGTGAGGTAAATTTGGTATTGTTTGTCGACTGATAAACTGATAAACGATTACCTGGTTTCATTATATATTGTGCAAGGTGGTACAAATTTAAATACATGAAGATAAAAGGTATATGATAGTCGATCAAACAAGTTGCACATCACTATATTATTACCTGCAAGTGCGTGTTAATATAATGATTAATAAATCTGTTTAATTTTGAGGAATATTTGTGGGAAAAATATATTGGTCATGGTTTATCAATTTCTATGAAAATGGACTTTAATCCTAATAATTGCTGTCAAATACAGTCATTTAATTGAGCTTAAAGACACCGTACCTTACTTTGCCTCATTTTTTTGCATTTTGGACGCAGATTTTGGTGCAGATTTTGGCAAAGTGCTCCTGGTAGCAAAGGGAATTTTAAAGTCCCAGGTGGTAGATATGAATAGCAATTTCTGCAAACAAATTTATTCTCCATTGGAGAAAACAAATTCAGCAATTATTGAATCAATTTTTCATAAAGGAAAGTCGATTTACGACTACAATAACCCATTATTGAATCATCATCAGATACTCATCAATAATCACCTTTTGGAAGGTGGTTTTTTGGAAAGTAACCACGACCAAAGTGGTAAGGTATTGGTGTACAATAAAGAACATTTGTCTATTAAGACAATTTTAAAACTTATTTAAAATTATAAAAATGTTAGTTACGTTAGTCAGGACTTACCAGAAAACGAGCTGTTGTGCTCGAACTTCTACTTTTGCCCTGTATTCAGATGGCAACCCGATGGTTGACCAATTTATGTTTTATATATTTATTCTTATTAGAATCTAATAATAATCATACATTATTTAACTATTTGCAGCAATAAGAAAGGCTGTTTTCACTTGAAAACAAATTTTAGATCTATGAAAATGGGGATGGGGGATGAGCAATATATTTAGGATCTAAAAAATGGGGGCAGCCCAACTGTTAACCAATTTATATTTTATAGAATTATTCTTATTAGAATTTATCTAATAGTGATCATATATCATTTGATTAAATGCAGCAATAGAAAAGGCTGTTTTAACTTGGAAACTTATTTTAGATCTATAAAAATGGGTATCGGGGATGAGCAACATATTTAAGGTCTAAAAAAATTGAGTGGGCAACCCAACTGTTAACCAATTTATATTTTGTAGAATTATTCTTATCAGAATTTATCTAATAGTGATTATATATTATTTAATTAAATGCAGCAATGAGATAGCCTGTTTTCACTTGGAAACTTATTTTAGATCAATAAAAATGAGGATTGGGGATGGGCAACATATTTAAGATATAAAAAAATAGGGACAACCCAACTGATAACGAATTTATATTTCGTAGAACTACTCTTATTAGAATTTATCTAATGAAGATCATATATTATTTAATTAGATGAATCAATGGGAAAGACTGTTTTCACTTGGAAATATATTCAGGATCTAGGAAAATGGATATATGAAAATGAAAATTGGGATCGAACACAAGCATTTGAAATTAGTCCGGAATTAGAAGTAATAAATATTAAATAAGAATTCATTTTAAGGATAGCTGTATACAAAAGTCTGTTACAATTCGAGAAATCCTTTTAAATTTCGCGCTGCACCTCAATTCTTTTTGCTAAGTATGGCAACACTTTTTCCCAAGGTTTGTGGCAATTTATTTGCAGAGGCGGCACCGCGTGTGGTACGTCATCGAACATGCGTCAAACGTCAGTGGGAAAACGATAAAATGTCAACAAATTGAGAAACCGGACGTTTGTACTGATTCTTTTTAAAAAATATGATCAAAAGTATTTATAAATTGATTATAATATGTTTTTAATGTTCTGAATAATCTTTCATGATCATTTTTTCAGATATTTTAACAATATTTTTGTATCTGCAATGGTGGGCAATTATCATATATATGAATCAAATTTGATTCTTGTCATTAATTTTTTTCTTTGTTTAATAAGGGTACCAACAACTTGTCCATTATTGAAGAGTTGATAAATGAGTTTTATGCAGGAACCACTTCTAACAGTAGAAAACATGATATTGAGGTACAATTGGAAGCATTTAAGCAAGATAGTTCATCTTGGAAGCTTTGTTTGTGCAATTTGACACAAAATAATCACATTCATGTATGGATGTTTGGAATAAATATTATCGAGGTAATGTCTTACAGTTTTAATTATTTTATTACCTACTGCAATTAAACTTTTGAGTAAAAAATGTATTGACTTCTACTTTATTCAGGATGTTATTACAAAAAGGTGGTTCACTTTGGAGAATAATGACAGATTGTTGATAAAAGACTTCTTATGGAAAAATATTAAATCAAAGTTAAATTGTACCACACAAAGATATCAAACAAACAAATTAGCAAAATTATTAACTGATATTATAAAGCGTGAATTTCCCTTAGGATGGCAAGAGTATTTTCAAAAAATTATGGATGTAAGTAATATAATATAAGTGACTTAAATAACAATATTTACAAAATTTAAAATACTTAAATACTATAAAATACTTTTTTCTAATTTAGATGGTCAAATCCACACACTGCCATTTAGGAATAGTTCTATTCCATGTTACATGCGAAGAAATTATAACAAGAAATGACATCAATTCAAATCGAAAACAGCAATTAGTCACAAGTTTAAATGGAAATTTAGATGATGTTTTTACAATAATTACACGTAAGTATAATTTAACAAACCCAATTAAATGTTTCCATACAAAATGCATTGTTTATTACAGAATTACTTCAATCAATTATGAATAAATGGTCAATTGGAAATACCCCGCCATCTTCTCCAAAAGAACATGTTTTAAATGAGGCTGTGTTAAGAAATATTATGTCTGTTGATGACAATAGTGTTAGGTAATTTGGATAACCTTCAAATAGAACTAATATATAATTTGCTTGCTATAATATCTACAATTTTTTATATTTTAGAGAACTTTGTTTTGAATTACTGTGCACGGTGCAACATTTATTTTCTTGGGTGGAACTCTCAGAATATGTGAGTTCAGATTTACTAAATATTTTGTTTGCATTAGCCGATGTCACCTTACAAAATTCAGAAACAATTAGTATTGTTGCACTGTCTGCTATTACAGAAATTCTGTATAGAAAATGTGCATTTGCAGGATTATCAACACTTCTATGTGGTCAAATAATGAGACTGATATGCCGAATAAATTATGCAAATAAACAAACCAATAACTGCATTGGTTTAACAGATAGGTATAAATGTTTAAAAATATTTAACTTGGGTACTGTTACAATTATTATTATGTATTCATTGTTGTGATATTTTTTCAGTTACTTAGAAAAGACTACAGAACTGATTAAAACGTTTGTGATTCAACATTTTAGTAGATTATTATCAGAACCAACTTTTGATTCTCTTCAATTTATGTCATTATTATTTCATTACACCTTTGTTGTAAATAAACAAAGTGTAGATTGTTATATGGGCTGTTTGGAAGTATGGTGCATTTTATTGGATTTCAATATAAATACTAGTATTGATAGGTAATTTAATCATTCCATATAAAATCAATATATAATCGCTGTTCCTGTATGATCATGAATAATTTTTGTTATAGTTTCAAGAATGCTATTCTAAGTATAGCAGCAAGTTGTTTTAATAATATCATATTTTCATCTAGTGGAGAATTTCTTTCTTCAATTGATAAAGAGACTTTAGACGATGATGTAAGTTAATAATTTAAATGTTATTCATGCATATTTATTAATTACTTTAAACTATTTACAGCTACAATCAGACTGGCAACATTACTTAAAGCAAAGTTTTGAATTGATCTCAAAAATAGCTGAATTTTATCCTTATCAAATTTTAACTATGACGGTCAGTATCTAATAATATATTGTTTTATTATTATTTGCTGATTTATGTTTATAAACCTATTTTCTTACTTTGTAGATTGACCCCTGGAAAAATTTATTAAACATTTATACACAAATAAATAGTGCTATCAATACGGAAAAGCAATTATGTATACAAGAATGTGAACTAAAACATGTTTTAAATATTTTACAAGATCTTTCAACACTAAGCCAGTGTATAAGTAGATTAGCTAGTATTATTTTAGGTATATTTGTCATGATATTAAGCTTTTTAATTCTTTTAAACTTCATGTAATGTTGCATATTTGATTTCCACAGAATCTTGCAATGATTCCAATATTCAACAATTAGTGCATTTAATTATTGCCAAAACTATTGAAGCCTGCCAATATTCTAATAAGCATGAATTATATAATGTCAAGTGTAATTCAGCTCAAATTCACTCAAATCTTCAACATGTGTAAGTAATGTTTTAAATTAACAATATTTGTTAACATAAAATTTATTTCATTATAAATAGGAATGAATACTTAGCACTTTCTTTTATTGTTGTAGCTCCAAAGATCTTGGCCCTACGATAATAAATAAATAATAATGAATTTAAAATATTTGAATTAACCCCAATATCTATTATTTTGCATCTAAATAGTTTCTAATTAAATTTCAGACATGGTCATTTATTATTACTTTTATCATCCTACACTCCCTGGATTACGCAAACTCAAATATGTGCTCAAGTTGAATTAACACAATGCGCAATCCAACCACTTACAAACAAATTTTGTGATATGAGAAATGCAATGCAACAAAATGTTTCCAGAGATATTTTTTTAGATGAAGCTTGCGCAACGTTACTATTAAATATAAGCAAAATTTTGAGACCACAAAATCTGATAAGTACAGAACTTGTACCACAGTTGTTCAATAAACCATTAGATGAAAAGGTGAGATAAACCTCATTTATTATTAACTCATTTTTGAATTCAACTATTCAATATTTTAAAATATGTTTTTAGATTGTGATTACATTACATCAGTGCATTATAAATAATTTGGTTTTGCCATGTCATGGAGCTGGTAATCAAAACTGGCCCGAACGAAGTTTGCAATTAAATAATTACACAAGAAATATGAGTGTAAATTTTTTAAGATTAGCTCATGATAACATAAATTTAAAGCACGAAGAGATGTATGAAAATGCTAGTATAGTATTGAGAGTGCAAGAAGGTGTTTTAAAAAATTATGAAGATAACTCTTCAACTGTTAAAAATATGCTTAAATGTGCTTATGAGGTAAAAAATATGATTGATTTTAAATTAAATATTTACTAGTTACTTCACTAATGTGAATTAAACCATATGAAATTATATTTTCAGCCTTTAATGGAACTTGCTCTCAAGTATATTGATCAGCAAGGTTTGTCTGGACCTTTAGGTGAAGCGATTGTATCATTTTTTCTAACTGCTCTGATGGTTTTGCAACATCAACTAGGTGCTCAATTTACTGGATTAGCTGTAAACGGTTTCATGAATGCTGTGAAAAGGTTTGCAAATCGAGAAGGAGATTGTAATAATTATTATTACTAATGAAATTTTTTTTTTCTTAGAGAACAATTGTCCAAGATCCAATTATATACTGTTGATAAATTACTGCAAATTTTAAAATTGGTTGTGCTACTGCCAGGACATGCATTTAAGGGCTTTTTACCAAATATTATAAATTTAGCTATAGATAACATATTACCCATGTTAAGTTCTAGTAATTCTGATGAAGCACATGATGCAAATCTTTCATTGCTTTCATTATTTGATGCGTAAGTTGATCCTGACTCTTCATAAGATTTAACTAAAAACTATCAGTTACATTATTTGAATATTTTTAGAATTTTACAACATAGGTGGCAATATTTTTACAAATCCCAAATTTTAATGGGAAATTCTCCAGTCCAAGCAGAAGGGATGGAAGAATTAAATAATGTAAACCAACTCCAAGCTATGCTTCTGTCTTATGGACAATGCTTATTAAATGGAGATTTAACCGTATTTGGTACTTGTTTGCAAAGTTTAGAATGCTTAAATTACAAATGGATGATATATCATAAGGTAATAAAATAATTTGTACAAATTTCAATCTATAAATTTATTTTAATTTAAATTCAGTAACTGTAATAATTTTTTACATTGCAGCCATTTTTTAGAAGTTCACTTCTTCCACATTTCTTATCGGCTCTTCTACAATCTCTGTTGAATGAACAACATAATATTTTGTTTGATAATATTATAATAGCAATTTACAAAATGGCTGTGGTTGATTTAAATGCTTTTTGTAATACAGCTTTGGCAATATTAATTAATTCTAAATATAATTTATCTGAGCAAGAAGCTACCACAATACTGATGCAGTTTCAAGTAACAGCTGTGAGTCATATTATTTTATATTTTATTAATATTATGTATTCCATCAATGGCTAATTAAAATTCTTTATTTAGGATGAACCAACATTCACACAAAATTTGGCAAAATTAATGAAAGATTTAAAATGCCCCCAGTATTAATGGACTTTTTTAAATATTTTATCTTTTAAACTCACATTTCAAAAATTCTTATATAAATATATATGTAAATCGAACATAAAATTTTGTATCACATTTTTACGATGAATAAAAAATGATATGTTAATAATATTTGGTCCATTTTTGAGATATATAACCGATATTTCTACTAAAAATAAAATACCTCTTTCAATACATGATATTTATTTAGTAAGACAAAATATAAACATTCCAAATTCGTAAAATATATTTCTATATATCTTATACTATATAAAGCGTGATATTAATAAATAAATCATAAATATAAATAATAGCAACCAATAACTAGGTATTAGTAAAATTCTAAAAAAATAAGTACAACTTATAAGATCTTATTTAGAGTATTAATTTATTAATACTTTCAGTTTAAAATAGCAAAACCTGCACATCAAATATAGCTGAAACTCTAAACTTAACACTATGAGAATTATTGTCACAAAATTTTATTGAAGTCACTATTTTTATTATTATATGAATATAAAAGTATTATTTTCTCAAAAAAAAAAACTGAAAGTATTTTTTTAAAACTAGCTCAAATTAAATTTTCATTTCAGAAATATAAAATTTATGTTTCAATAATAATGCACATAAAAACTTTTTTAAAATAATAAATAAAATGGCAAATTAGTTGTTTTTGCTTAATAAATTAATTGTTTTCTTGCAAAAGTCTATGTAATTCATGTCGTTTTCTATCTAATTGATCCTTTTGATAATCCACATCAAAACTGTCTGTTCTCCATCCAAGAAGCATATACAGACTCCACATTGAGGCAAGCAGTAGTCTATCGAGACTATAGAAAATTTATTTATTAAAATTAATTATATTCAACAAATATATAGCAATGATGGTAAAACCAAATGTGTTATACATATATTGCAATTTATATTATTAAGGACATTTATAAGTGCAGTTTGAAGCATATTGATATTGTTAACAAACCTCATCACTGGTGTACACCAAAATATAACAAACAAAGCTATAAATGAAGGATGACGCATATGCTGATAAAGTCTTCTTAACTCTCTTGATTTATAAGCTATTGGGCAAGATAAACCTTTGACATCATAAATTACCTGAGAACATTAAATATGTAGTTAGTTATTTAGAAAATTAATTACTTGCTTAATTTCCAATCTCTTACTTGTTTGATTCCAAATATTTCTGGAGTATCCATCAATAAACTGCCACCATAAATCACAGACCATGAAATTAAATGGAAAATAAAAATTCCAGAATTTATAATTGGATACGATTCAGTTGGCAGGTCCCATAATTTATAGGTGTTAACATATTTCCATTGATTAATCAATAACTAAATAAAAATATATTATTAAAACAATAAAATCATAATGTAGTATCAATAATAAAAAAGTTGTGTTATATATAGTTGTGATCGTGCAAATACTTCAATTATTATTTTTAAAATCTAGTATTACTTACTAATATACATAAAGATGTTGCAAAGTTATAAATACTTCTTTCTATAACCCCTAGGTTAATACGTTCAATAAACTTTTTGTAAGTTGAACTTGCCATACATGAGTGTTGAATTATAAAAAGAGCTAATAAAGCATAATCTTTAATTAAAGAATATACTGCCTCCAATAAATCATGTTCTAAATGAGCAGTAGAATTTTTGTTACTGTTTTTGTCTTCTTTAGATGAAGACAAAAATAATAGCAAACATACAGCTGAATAAAAAGAGCATAAAAAGCTTAAAAGAGCTGCGAAACCAAATATGATATGTTTTATTTTCATTGTAAGAAATATAATATTTCAATTACAAATATAAATAATTAGTGTTTTTATATCATTTGTTGATATTTGCTGTCAAATAAAAATAGCGTAGACTACACTATTGACCAAAGTTTATGACAGCTGCATTTAGCAATAACTTCACAGCGCATGAAAATTAGGGTTGAACAAGTTTCTAGAGATTAGTTGTTCAGGTGTGGCTGGTTGACAGCTAACGTCATTTATATTTTATCTCTAGGTGGTTTATTTCATATGTTTCGGGCAACACTGCGGAGTTGGGTTTGACAATTCTGCTTATCTCCATTATGTGATTGTGATTATAATTTATCAACGGTGATTAATGATTATATTTTAAAGATCACATTAACTTAATTAGCGTGCGTTATATTATTGTGCATGAGTTAATTAATAATTTTGCCGATGCATTAATTTATTTAAACATATAATGTAAATAATCATAATATCAAGTCTACACGAGCTATGATTTCTTGAAAACCCTCTTGTCACATATTGCTGAATTGTGATTTGTGAAATTAAAATCTGTGATAGTTACATAGTGCATTCACGACTTCTAGTCGATTTTAATTTATTCGTCTTATGTGATACTTTTTGTCAGATGTTGTGTTTATTCTAGCGAGTTTAGTGCAAGTTTTGTAAGAAATATTTTTTTTGTCAACCTAGAAAAATGGCAGAAGCCGCAGTTGTAACAAGTGAAAATGCTGAAATTGTACGGGGACAAGTTTTTGAGGTTGGACCTAGATACACTAATCTTACCTATATAGGAGAAGGAGCATATGGAATGGTTGTGTAAGTACCTATGCAATTTAAACAAGTTTTCTTGATATGACATAAATTTTGTTAAATTTCAATTGCAATTTCTGCAACGCAAATCATTTATTGCGAAAACAATTAGCCTCTTGATAATCTGATTAGTGTAAGATAACCCATGCTGTAAGTTGTATTGCATACCTACATAAACACTTATCAGCAATTCAGAGTAAATAATATGATAGACGTCATTAGTTGCAAACAAATACTCTTCTTTTACCTTTGGTTGAAAATAACTTAAAAACTATAAATCGCAGCAACGATACAAAACGTTCTTTTAAAAGGTGACACTTGAAGAATTCTTTTAGATCATAAACATTGAAATTGGTGCTGTGGTTGGAAAGTTATTTTCTTTAAAAAGGAAGAAAAATAATGAAAAATTGCGCTATATTTTGCAATATTGTTATAATCAAGGTAAGAATGCTTTACAGGCCTGCGAACAAATTTGTGCTGTTTATGGTGAAGGTACATTATCAAAATCAAATTATTGATAGTGAGCTAGTCATTGACCAGAAAACTGTTTTAAATTATTCAAACAAAGCTGGCTGCAAAAAGAAGCTCAATGTATAGGTTCCTCATGAGTTGAGCCAGAAAAACATGATATACCAAATTAATATCTGCACACAAATTTATATGGATTTAATTAATTAATAAACTCTAGTGATATAATAATTATCTTCATATCATTTATGCTTGTTATATATCACTTCACAACTTTCTTTTTATAGTTCTGCTTACGATAGTGTGACCAAAAGCAAAGTTGCCATCAAAAAGATATCACCTTTTGAGCATCAAACTTATTGTCAACGTACCTTAAGAGAAATCAAGATTCTGACCAGATTCAAACATGAAAATGTATGTTTAATTAGTTTTTGTATTATGATAATAGATAAATTGAATATTTAATTACATATTCTATTTTATTTTTATAGATAATAGATATTCGTGACATCTTAAGAACTCCTAGCATTGATCATATGAAAGATGTGTACATTGTACAATGCTTGATGGAAACAGATCTTTACAAATTGCTTAAAACACAGGTGAATAAAAATTGATTGATTGGAAATGACTAATGAATTGTATTAATTCATTTGTATCTTCTTACAGAGACTAAGCAATGATCACATTTGTTATTTTTTGTATCAAATCTTAAGGGGTTTGAAATACATACATTCAGCAAATGTATTGCACAGAGATTTGAAGCCATCCAATCTTTTATTAAATACTACTTGTGATCTTAAGGTAATTATAATAAATACTAATAGAAAGTATATTTTATGAAATACTAATTTTTGTTAAATGTTGCAGATTTGTGATTTTGGTCTAGCACGTGTTGCAGATCCAGAACATGATCACACTGGGTTTTTGACAGAATATGTTGCTACAAGATGGTATAGAGCACCAGAAATTATGTTAAATTCTAAGGTATTATTACAATTATGAATGATTTGGTATATAATTTAACATACTTATCATTTTTGTTTTTCAGGGGTATACTAAATCTATTGATATTTGGTCTGTTGGATGCATTTTAGCTGAAATGTTGAATAATAGACCAATATTTCCTGGAAAACATTACCTCGATCAATTGAACCACATTTTAGGAGTTCTTGGATCCCCTTCTGAACATGATCTGGAAAGTATCATAAATGAAAAGGTAAATATTAATCATTATAGTAACTAGTAAGATTTATATTTGTATTCACCTAATAAATCAATTTTTGAATATTCCAGGCCCGAAGTTATTTGCAATCACTACCATTTAAACCCAAATTACCGTGGCTAAAATTATTTCCTAATGCTGATCCCAAGGCATTAGATTTGTTAGATAAGATGTTAACCTTTAATCCACATCAAAGAATAACAGTGGAAGAAGCCTTAGCGCATCCCTATCTGGAGCAATATTATGATCCAGCTGATGAGGTAATTCAATTATTATTGTATTGATTAAGTTACGTGTTTTAATAACCAATTATGCTGTTGCAGCCTGTTGCAGAGGAACCATTCAAATTTGCCATGGAATTAGATGATCTACCAAAAGAAACATTGAAGAAATATATTTTTGAAGAAACCCTCTATTACAAACATAAAAACGGTGAAATGTAGTTATTTTAAGGAACAAATTATTATTTATGTTAATTGGGATGAAGGTAAGAATATATAATAAGTAATTGGTAATATTACATGTTTGAAATTGGTAGATATGTGATTTGTCTACTTATGCCATAATTATTTTTAAATCGGGTTTTAAACAATGACCTGATATTGCCAAAACGAATCTAGTACAAACATGTGTGCATTGAGATATATAAGAATAATTCTTTCTATCATTTTTGTTTTATGTTAAACTCAAAATATTTCTCTTTAAATGCATTTTATTATCTGTAATTGAATATATACATAAAAATGATTTTAATTATTAGTAACATATCTATGTATCTAGTTTTGAATTCTAAATGTATTGAAACACAGTCAGTGTCCTTGTATTAGATTTAGCAAACGAAAAATTGAAACTATAGTATTTATCATTTACATCATGTATTTCAACAGTATATTTTTAAAGTATTAACATTCAAGTATAAATGTTTATGGTTATTTTCATTCATTCAATTCATTTTTATAAAAGAGTAATTTTATTTCATGATTATTGAAACTATTAAACTTATTTTAAAATAAGTTCTTAAGATATGTATGTATTATAAAGGTTCATTCTGTGTAGTGATGAATGTTTTGAAATTTTTGCATGTACTCTTATGATGTAGTCTTAAATAAATGACATTATTTCTATCTCATAAAATGTTACTAAAATTGCTCATATTGGTTAGAAGATTTAAAAATAAATCAGCAGCAAGATAAATGAATTCTGTAATGTACTTTCATTCATCAAAAAATATTTACTATTGGAGAAAACATATATGTTGTTGCATTACTTTGTATCACATGTTTAGAAAAGCACTTTATAAATAAATCTAATGAATTAATTATTGATTATTCAAGTATTAATAAATTTAAACTAAATATCTATTGTTATACTTATTGGTTCTTTTTTATGAATATGTTTCTTCCAATTTGAGCAAAAAATCTGTTGCAACATTCTATAAGATAGTGTTTTCAATTTTTGTACTGAATACAAAATTCATTATGCGAACAAATCCAGTTAAAATACAGATTTTGATGAATGTTCTGAGAATGCTAAATGTTTATTCGCACACATATCAAAATCATTAGTCAGGAAGCATCAGAAAGTTCTTGTTATTTATGAATGTTTAACAATTGTTAATAGTACACGGATGTAGTGTATTTGATTGTATTATAATCTTTACAGTTGTTATTAGCGCTAGTTGTTTTATTAACATGAATTTAATATAAGTGTATATCTTCTAAGAATTTTGATTTGGACATATTTTTTATAGAACGATGGGTTTAAGGGTTCAAATACTATTGTAAATACAATTTAATGCTAGACAAACAGCATACATTATTTATATATAATTTATATATATGTAAAATGCCATAGTTATACACTGAAGACAATATAAACAGCATATTTACTTTTTAGTGAAATCATTAACAATGTCCATATTGAAATATGTACTTAAAACAAAGAAAATTAGTTCAAATATTTTTCAATTCTTAGTTTGTGTGTGCATATATTGATTATTTAGAAATCTTTATAAACAATAGGACACTTACATTTCAAAAATAGGTGTTACGAATAAATTATGATCTCTTTCACTACATATATTACAATCAACATTTATTAAATAAGTGTTGAATTTATTTATTGTGCAAATAATAATATGCTTTCCATGTTTGTAATCAATTTATTAATTTAATTGTATAATTTGTTGTTTTACCTACACATTTTAGCTACTGGTAAGCTAGGCATAATGTGAAATGTATATCTTAATTTTTTTGAGATCAAAAGCTTTCAATTTAATTAAAAATGAAATTTATTAATAAATATGTGCAATTTTCCAATTATTGTGATGCCTAGTTATGCCTATGATAATGTTGTAATCATAATATTTTGAATAATCGATTTTATATGATCTCTATATGTGCGAATATTTTAACAAACTATAAATGTTTTTAAAGCTCATAAAGTAATATTGTAATATTTGTGTTAAACAATTTTGAAGCAATATGTGTAAAAACAATGCTCGTTTATTGAATGTCATTAATTATTATATTTATATATGGCAGTTCATGTTATTTCAATTTCTGCGTGTTTTAAATTTTTGTAAATAGATTATACTGCTAAAAGAAGTGAAATAATTTTGAATTAATGAACTACATATCTTTTAAAAGATTCTAACTCTTGCTAGAAAATATTAACAGAAGTGATCGAATTCATATATGAAACTGTACATTCGCCAAGTGCAATTGCACTCTATTAAATATACAATACAATAGATCTCAATATGAAATAAAAACATTATTTTGTAGTGATTATTAGTATAACAATGGTTTCACATTGTAAATATGATCGGACTACATTTTTTTTAATATTCAAGTCAATCAATATATTACAATACTGTTCTGGATATACTATAAAATATATATTGTATTTAAATTCAATCTAAGCATTATATATTATTGAATAAAAATTTCAAATGTCAATTAGACCTTTTTTATTAAAAAAATCTATATTTCAAAGATTACTAAATGTTATAAATATTTAATTAATCTGTCATACTAAAAAATTAAGAAATAAAAATAAATTGATTGATTTTATTCAGATATGTACTTTTTAGTATCATATAAAAGTATGATAAATTAATTAAATTTGTAAATGATCTATTTTGGTTTCTATGTCAAAATAAAATAAAAAAATTAATATTATGATCATTTTATTAATCATGTATATATTGTTGTGTTGGCTTGACACAAGGAATCTAAAAGTAATAAAAAACCAACAAGTTTTTTTAAAAAAAAATTATTGTGAACGTTATCCTTATCGATTTTAAATTTTAATCCCATTTTTCGATACTTTTGCCAGTTTCTTGTTATCCCCGAATAATTTATTTATTTCGAATATTCCTTGACACCGGCTGCCTATGCCCCCCACTATGAGACCACGTGTCTTTCTTGTCCATGTGTTTTGAATCGTAATCTTTCGTCGGTTCTCGAGCACCTTCGGTATTTAGTGAGTGCTTTATGTGCATCACGTCTCTTGTCTCTTGTCTTCTATTGCTCGAATACCGAAAACGTAGTTAACTTGTTGAATTTAACTGAATTTTAAATCATATTTGTTTATTTCGAGTGTTTAATAATAGATTTTTTTATTATGATGTTAAAAATTGATGGTAATTGTGCAAGACATTTTATTATCACCGTGCATATGTAAAATGTATATTAAATAATTAAAAGGTGCAGTGTCAGTGGTTCATTATTGTAAAGTGCGTGTGAATGGATACTAATACGCTGAAAGTGAGAAAATATATGTGAGAAAAATAATACTAAGTGCTTGTAACAAAATTTGAAAAAATACTTATTTCTTGTTTAATATTTAGTGACGGTGTTTATTTTTATTAAATTAATTTTTATAAAATCGAGCGGACATGAAACAATATACTCAAAACGTTTATTTAGCACTATATGTGGTCTTTGAAAGTGACCTCTATACAAATATCAGAAATGTTATCATTTTGTATTTAAATACACATATGTACATTGCTATCTGTATGAATAAGCTTTAACTGCGTCCATGCACCGCGGATATTATAATTTGCAAAATATTTATAGATTCAGAATACATTTTTCCGGTTAGAAATTTTTTATCGGGTTTTGATAGTGCATTTTTACTATTTTACGAAAAAAATGTTATATATACATTTTATAATGCTTCAAACTTTTCGGCTATATTCATGAAGGCGGAAGTTTGCAAAATTGTCACAGGATATTTATTTCCTTCGGAAAAGAAACTTATCTCCTCATTTTATACAGTTTTGTATACAGCAAACATTTTTTCAATATTCTTCAGTTCAATTCTCTTTAATACCTTTGTAATATTCTAATTTATTGAACAAAAGGTTATATAAATCGCCTCATTCTATTTAACAAATTCATTGTTTATGACATTTCATGAAAATTCATTCTGTAAATCCGGAAACAATTGTACAATTTTCTTAAATCATTTACACTTTGAAAAAAATCTCTTTCTCCCATTGAATTACTGAAATTATTAATGTTATTAAGTAAACATTTATTAAAAAATAGTACATTTGTATACTTTCCTTAAATTAAACTTTTAACCTATGAATAATTCAAGTACAAACTAAGATTTTGTATGAATTGACCCTTTGTATTGTATTGGATTCTATTAAACCTTTGAAGTATACAAACTAAAATTTTGTATTGAAGTACATACTACTAAAATTTATGAATTTATTTTACCCAGTCATTTGTACAATTTTCTCATATTATTTACACTTTGAAACAATTCTCCTTTTACCTTTGAATTACTGAAATTAAACATGTTTTAAAGTCAAAATAGTACACTTGTATAGTTTCCTTTAATTAATTTATCCTCTGAAATATTGAAGTACAAATTAAAATTTTATTTTGAATTGAATCTTTGTATTATATTGAACTTCATTCTATCTTTGAAGTATTGGAGTACAAACTAAAATTTTGTATTGAAGTACAATTAAAATTTATGAACTTATTATACCAGACTAATTCTTCATGTATTTATCAAGTCAATTGCACAATTTTCTTAAATTACTTACAGTAATTACTTTATAGTTTGAAGGAATTCACCTTTTACATTTGAATTACTAAAACAAGCATTCACTAAAAAATAGTACATTAGTAAACTTTCCTTGAATTAAAATTTTAACCTTCGAAAAATTCAATTACAAACGAAAATTTTGTATTGAATTGAATCCTATCGTTACTATTGTATTGAATAGTATTTATACCTTTGTAGTATTGAAGTACAAATTAAAATTTGGTACTGAATTGAACCTTTGAATTATTGAAGGACAAACTAAAATTTTGTACTGATATACAACTAAAGTTTATGAATTCTTTTCGGCAATTGTATATTTTATTATGCAATATCGCCAGAAACTCTTCCGTCTTTCTTTCACCATTATAATAAATAGTTTCAAAATAGCCTGAAGTGCACTTCAATAATTATATATATTTATATATATATATATATATATATATATATATATTCTTGGATAGAATAGGAAAGAAGAATCAACAAGATCAGTTGTAAAGAAAAAGAAAAGTTCGAATAGAATATATATATTATATATTGTATTCTGACTTTTCTTTCTTTTTACAACTGATTTCTTCATTCTTCTTCTCTTCTATATCCGATCTTCTTGATTCTTCTCTTCTTCTAAATCCGATCTTCTCCAATTCTAATCTTGCTTCTCTTTTCATTTTCTTCTTCGAGCTCTAATATCAGAGCTTCAATAGATGTATTGATTATTATATTGATTGAATGTGTTGTATTTTATATAACCATTTTGTTTGAGAAATTTAAAGAATATTAGGAATTGATAAGCATAAAAATTTTACCTGCAAGTTTTATCTATGAATTTATATCACATTTTTTTGTTATCAAAAACACTTGTAACTTCAATTAACATTTGTAAATCAAGATTGAAAACAAAATTGCCATTTGATTTAGGTCATTGTTTCTTGATAAAAACTAAATTTACATATTTAACTTGTATCTTAATGTATTAAGTTAAATTAATATAATTAATTTAATTAATTACATTTTGAAAATGAGAGGAAAACTACTTTAGGATACATTTTTTGACTAAATCATGTAATAAATTTACCATGGCCCATGGGAAAATTTTTCTGATACTATCGTGGCGATTAACGTGTTAATAATTTTATAGTCCCTAGTTCGGGTTAAAATAAAAAAACGTGTTTCATATTTACTATTCACCTATATTTACCACTTCATTTACTTCTTGATTCTTCTTCTCTTCCATATCCGATCTTCTTGATTCTTCTTCTCTTCCATATCCGATCTTCCTGATTCTTTTTCTCTTCCATATCCGATCTTCTTCATTCTTCTTCTCTTCCATATCCGATCTTCTTTATTCTTATTCTCTTTCATATTCGATTTTCTTCATTCTTCTTTTCTTCTAAATCTGATCTCCAATTCTGCTCTTGCTTTTCTTTTCATTTATTCTTCGGGCTTTAATAAATCAGTTTCTTCAATATAATCATCAATTGCCATTTTATGTTTTTTGTATTATTCTTATCAATGAAATAAACATCAAATGTTACAAGTACAAGTATTACTGAATTAAAATTTTAATTTTAAAGTTAAATTTTCTATTTACCATTTGTGTCCACATATGTAGGAAGTTGTTGATGTGTTCGGTGCTAAATGAAAGTGATACACCGAATTGACTAAAGTAGTTAAACGTTTGTGAGAAGACATGTGATTCGGATAAAGTGCCTTTTATTTATTATCATTATGACTATGGTAAATAAAATTTTGTGCTTGTAGTGGTCTCCTTTGATAACTGTTTCCAGGTTTTACTGGAAACAGTTTGGAGGATTTATCAGAAATCGAAGGAAAATTTCTTCAGTGGACAACAAGCGGTAAGTGATAAATGATAAATGATAATTGATATTTGAATCCTTTTAGCCAGTAGTTCAGTGGTTTCCAACCTTTTTGTAACCCCCTCTCCACTCAATTTGCGACCCTTAATTTTTGAACAATTTAATTTCATAAATACTCAACTGATATTATAATGTAATTACCAGACTACAAATTAATAAGTATTGCTATGTAAAAATATACATAAAAATAATTATGTATTTCACTCCTGATATATCTATATATATATAGATATACACACACGCACTATATATATATATATATATATATATATATATATATATATATATTGTCTTTTCCAACCTATTTCTAATTTTGTTTTATCTTCTAACTTCTAATTTTATTCATCTCCTATCTTCTTTTATTTCTTCATTCTTATTTCTTCATATTTCTATTATAACTTACTTCTTCTAATATGATTTTATCTTCTAACTTTTAATTCTATTCAACTCCTATATTCTATAAGTTAATCTCGATTTATATTCTAACTTCTAATTCTATTCAACTCTTATCTTCTCTTATTTCTTCATTTTTATTTATTTATATTTCTTTACAACTTACTTCTTCTAATCTCATTTGATCTTCTAACTTCCTATTCTATTCAACTCTTCTATCTTCTCTTCTTTTATTCTTCATTCTAACTTCTATCTTCTTTTATTTCTTCATTCTTATTTTTTCATATTTTGATATTTAGTATAGAATATTTGTAACTTTCCGAAGCAGACTTTTGTAGCTTTCTTCAGAAAATATGATTTACTAATTTCACAATTGAACATTTTATCTAAATAAATATACTCAATTCTTATTTATTACACTTACACCTAGTTACAAGTTCGATTATAATAATTAAATTTTAATTATAACTTACATATACAGTTTGATTTTCTACTTCTATGAATGCCTTATAGAAATAACAAAACGCCAAAGTAATCAGCATTTTATTTACAACAAAGTTAATAACATGAATTACCATAACAACTTAATCGAATCAATACAAAATATAATTAAATATTTTATAACAAATAGACAGAAGCGTAATGCAATTATAATTAGAATTTATTATAAAGAAAAACATATAAAAAATAGAAATATTTTATTCCTCTGGCTCTGAAACCTACAGATTCCTCATTTGACCCACCTGAGCCAGCTTGAAATGAAGCAGTAGTGAAAATATTGAACTAAAATATGTTTTCATAGCCTTTCAGAGTATTGCTAGATCTAATTAACCATCAGTATTAGAAAAATTTTAATAATAAAAATATATTAAATACAGATTGGCGAATGGTCAGGTTGCTTTCTGAATGAATAAAGAGTATGACCATCTCAACATTTTACTAAATTGTTAAGTACTAATGGCTGTTCAAAAATTCAGTTTTTTTGGTTTAATTTTTTTTTTCCTAAATCAGTGTCGTTTTCATTTACGATTTTCTAATTAGTTTGCACTATCCACATATATCTCGTAATTAGAGTGTGATGTGTGTCGTTATCGTAATTGCTTTGGATTATCTTTCAGAACAAATAATTCGCAATATGGTTGGGGCATCGTATTTAGGGCAAATGCATCGTTTTATCAAAGAACAGTCGCTTTTAGTCATGACAATAGTATTTTGCGATAGTAATAATAATTGTCTAGTTTTGATTGAAATTTATTGCAGTGAGTTAAGACTTTTGTGATTTGGAGATTGGAAACTGTAAGTGAATCATTTTGTTATAATAGTTGTGAGAATTAAGTTCTTCAGTCGCCTTACAAGGAACAACATTCATATGTGGCATGCGTTGCAGTGGGTAAACCATCTATATAAGTTTGTGCTAGCTGCCTTTTTCACTTACACATCACATACTTCTACATTCACAACCAAAATTAGCTAGAAATATTTTTCTATTCTATAATTTAAAACATTTTTTTCATAAACGAACCGTTTTTTTTCAAAAAATATTTTTCTCCTAGCGACATCTATTTCTCAACTGGTCCCTATTCCTTCTCTTTCTTTTTTGATATTTCATGACTCGTCTAAATGACCTTGGATAGAGAGTTCAGACTCCGACGATCGTTAGTAATGCAGTAAAAGGAATCCATATTTTAGATTTTAAATTATAATACACTGATGATGAGACAAACCTAGTCTCGAAACGTTTGAAAAATTATTATTTAATAAATAGTGCAAAAAAGAGTGTCGTGACAGTTACAAAGTCATCATTAATTTCATGAGAAGTAATTCAATACAGTTTTAGAATCTTTCGTTCGTTATATTTCTTCTCTGTTTTTCTTTCCCCTTTCGTTTCTCACAACTCTCTCCCACTCCTTCATTACACGTGCGTGACTACACTGCGTTGTAACCTTGATCAGTGTCCACAATGCACTGCTATCAATAACATTAAATATAGGAGGGCAATAGGTGTTCCTTCTATTTCTCGTTTGTTAATATGATAGTATTTTATTATTTTACACAAATTTAGTGTTTAATCAATTTTACATCATAATTATTTTTTTCTGTTGTTTTTCCTGGTTTGGTATGTATAATTTCCTCCTTTTATATATATATATATATTTATCATTAACTGTGTATTTATGTTATATGTTTTTTAGATTACTGAATGATAACACACATCAAGTGTCGAAACGTTTAATGGAATAGATAATTTTGTTATTTAATTCAAACTTTTTTAATTTTACGGTTGGGCTGCAAAAATATTACAAATATATATATATATATATATATATATATATATCCGTAAATCACGTTTCCAATCTATTACCAATTTCTGTCCGTGTTATATATATTATCGATCACAACATAATTCACTCTTCCAAATTGCCTATCTAATTTATGATTTTAAAAGCCGGTCGAAACACATCGAAGGGTCTACTTTAAATTAAAATCAGTGGGTCAAACGTATCCGTTACAGTCATTATTCAAAAATCGACGTGTTTCATTAAATTGTCTGCAAGATTGTCTGCGAAAAACCGGACCCACAAATTGGTCAGCCTAAGGGATTGTTATTTTGCTAACATTGTGTGGACGACAAGAACAGGATGGGATTTTGGAAGGAGAAAGTGTTATTTTATAAAGGACTATTTTGCTTATTTTGAAAATTTGTATCCATAAATCAGTTGTTGGCACGTTTGATTCATTTCTAACATTCTAATATATTGGCATATGTTGATACTTCTAAATAACCTTCAACACAATTCTTTTGTGTATAGCATTGATCATGCCTCTGCCCTATTCTCCAATTGCATTTCGAATATGATTGAAATTTCTAATTTATATACAAATTTTATACTGCCTGTTAATCACATGATATGGCTCATAAATAAATAGCCTTAATTTACTTCTAATGACCAATTAAATCCCAAAAGAACTTTTACCACTGAATGTAAGGTTTTCATATACTAAAGATGGGTAACTCTCTTCGGAGTTATCACGCCGATACAACTCCTCCCTCATGAATGTTAAATGCTGAAAATAGTAATTTCTTATAATAAAATGAACAAAAATATTTGAACTGTGTAAATGGTTGCCAAATTCTTCATTAATCCTTAGATATATGAACAACAAACTATAGAACACATTTGTGTCGAGTATTAGGTTTCGAAGTTGTCGGAGTCGTTGGAGTTGTTAAGTAGATATAGCTCCTTTTTGAAGTGGAGTCAAATCCTAACCGATTTGGTTTCGGATATGGTAAACCCATCTCTACTATATACCCATGTTGACTTTTTTTCTCTGGATTAAGTTTCCAGTTGGTTATTGCACGAGCACACTAGGCTTCCAATAGAAGAAGTTAAAATGTACTAGACACCCCCATGGTCATCTTCTTAGTTATGATATTGCAGTAATGCCTGGAAGGTCTATTTTTGCTTAGACATATATTACTGCTTGACATCAGGCTCTACGATCCATAAGGAATCAATTCCTACCGATCCACAAGAAATCAAATCCTAACCGATCCAGTTTCGGATATGGTGAGCCCATCTATAATATATACTCTTGTTGACTTTCTTTTTCTGGATTAAGTTTCCAAGTTTTCTATAGAAGAAGTTGAGATTTTTAAGGAAGTACTAGACATTCCCATGGTCACCTTTCTAATTGTGACATTGCAGCAATGCCCCGAAGGTCTATTTTTGCTTAGAAACATTCTGCTTGACATCGGGCTCTACGAGGCTGATACTTCTAATTGAAATTCCATAGCTCCAATCCACAAAGAATCAAATCCTAACCGAATCGGCTTCGGATATGGTAAACCCATCTTTACTATATACTCCTGTTGACCTTCTTTTTCTGGATTAAATTGCTCAAGTTTTCTATAGAAGAAGTTAAAATCTTTGACGAAGTACTAGACATTCCTATGGTCACCTTTCTGATTATGATATTGCACCAATGCCCCGAAGGACTATTTTTTCTTAAAAACATTCTTCTGCTTGACATCAGGCTCTACGGGGCTGAAACTTCTAATTGAAATCCCATAGCTCCAATCCACAAGGAATCAAATCCTAACCGATCCGGTTTCGGATATGATAAGCCCGACTCTACTATACACTCTTGTTGACCTTCTTTTTCTGGATTAAGTTCCTCAAGTTTTCTATAGAAGATGTTAAGATTTTGAGGAAGTACTAGACATTCCCATGATCACCTTTCTGATTATGATATTGCAGCAATGCCCCAAAGGTCTATTTTTGATTAAAATCATTCTGCTTGATCAGGCTTTACGAGGCTGATACTTCTAATTGAAATCCCATAGCTCCAATCCACAGGAATCAA